GCTGGCTGAGGAATTCTGGGAGTTGAAGTCCACAAGTCTTAAAGTTGCCAAGGTTGGACACCCCTGCTTTAACCCAAGCCAGGAGCAGGTGTTTAACCCAAGCCAGGAGCAGGTATTTTCTTTTGAAAGTCAAGTGCTATGATTGAGAATTAACAGAAAAGCTCTATTTTATTAAGTATCTGTACCAAAAATGTAAGGATGGGTGGTGGTTTTGAACCTGAAGCTACATTTTTTTTTTTGTTTGAAGAGGTTGCTGTGGGTCACATTAGCCATGGATTGGAACAGAGTTTTTAGTTTGTTATCCTCTCCTTCATGGTAAGACTTAGTTTTTAAGGTACATTAAACATATTGGATGCTTAATATAATTACTGTTATTTCCTTTAGTTTCTCATTGTCTTCTGGCATTTGCTACTATATGATGGCAGAATTTTGTTAGTATGTGCTCTGCAGATTGTTTACCAGGTCTACAAGCCCTCAAACATCTGTTGGCTCCAAAAGTTTTTCTTGAAATAATCTTACTGAAATTATAGAGGCAGTAATAAACTCTTAACTCCTTAACCTTTTGAAGTTTTACTAAACAAATAACCCTGTGAGCCATTGGGCCATCCTTTAAGAGAAAGGTAATGCAGTGTAAGGTCACCAGAATAAACATTAAATATTACTTAATTGTATTGCTATTACACAAGTGGACAAAAAAGCAGTGGGAGCAGGAACAATTTTGACTTCTTGCCAGCTTCCCCATTAACTTTATTTGTGAAAAACTGGGAAGGAGCATCAGAAATCATGATTATCTGACTGTGGAGATGCTGTGATGACCACAACTTTGCAAATAAAACTCACCGGAACATTCTGGAAATTTCAATTCCAGTTGAATAATGGAATTTTTATGCATTCTTTAAGATAGCAGGTATTTAGATAGCTTGATTAAAAAATTGTTGCGGTACATTGCATCACTTGGGCTAACTTGAGAGTAGAAACAGATATAACAAATAAACTTAGTAAGGTAAGTCGAGGTAGTCCTCGACTTATGACAATTGAGCCCCAAATTTCTGTTATTAAGTAAGATGTATGTTAAGTGAATTTTGCCCCATTTTATGACATTTCTTGCCACAGATGTTAAGTGAATCACTGAAGTTGTTAAGTTAGTAGCTTGGTTGTTAAGTGAGTCTGGCTTCCCCATTGACTTTGCTTGTCAAATCTCAAAACATGATCCCAGGACACTGCAACTGTCATAAATATGAACCCGGTGCCAAGCATCTAAATTTGTATCACCTGACCATGGGGATGCTGCAAAGGTTGTAATTGTGAAAAATGGTCATGTCACTTTATTCAGTGCCATTGTAACTTTGAATAGTCACTAAATGAACTGTTGTAAATCGAGGACTACCTGTAATATATAGATGGATTCCAGGCCACTAAGAATTTTAAAGATCAGCACTTCTATTTGGAAGCAGATGGGCAAGCAGTAAAATTCTATGATTCATTGATTTCAGCAGTTTGATTTAATGATCCACTGGAGCTCTGAAAAAGAGATATTATATGGACTGGAAATGACTAAAAACAAGACATTAGGATAAGGATGTGCAACACAGGTATAAGTGAAAGAATATCTAAATCAAAGTCTATGAAACAGTTTCAAGATCAGAAAAAATACTAGCTCATAAAGTCCATGGCTTCCATTTATTTATAAAGTGGTTCTTAGAAGTATACGAAATAAATTAGTTTGAACGTTCATTATAGGAGGAGAAAAAGAATAGAAACCTATGGAAAAGGAATTCCCTGAGAAATTCTAAATGATGGGAGGAAAGCAAATATTCTTATGCTCAAAAACTGTGAGAAGGAGACTCCAAGGCAGTACATGCTGGTCAAGCTAACATGAATCCCTCAGAGCAACCGACAGCAAATCATAAAGTGATCAGTCAGCAAGCAGTTTGAAAGCAGTGCAGTGATTACTAGAAGTTGGCATGGATATGACAAAAATAAGTCTTGTCAGATTTATTTTTTTGAAGTTCTTAATAGATTATTGGAATGCTGCAGACATAATATATCTTGCGTTCAACAAAGCATTTAATTAAGTAATATATGACGTTCTGATTAAAAAAACATTTAAATATAGGTTAGATTATATGACTTTGAGGTGGATCAACTACTTAGAAATTCCTCATCAGGATGGAATGATGTATTAAATTGCTACAGGATTTGATCCTCAATCATATATTAATATAGATTAATTACTTGATTGAAGGAATGGTTATCTCATTAGCAGATGACTCAAAACTGGATGGGGCAGAAGGCAGATATAAATTCCAAATAATCTTGGCAGGATTAGATAGATAGTGGGCTAAAAATAATATCTTGAAGTTTATTATGAATAAATACAAACTTCTAATTAAAAAAAATAGATTCAAAATATAAGGTGCTCAAGACATGATGATCACATGTGTAGAAAAAAATGTTTTTTTTTTTACAATTGCAAGCTGACTGACTTTAGTTATTTGCACTTGATTTAATTGGATATTTTATTTAATCTATTATGTACTTCATATTGCAATAGTCTAACATGGCAATGACTACTGGAAATGGCCAGTTCTGCCAAATGGCAACTGTTTGAATAACTGTACAAGTGGGAAGGAATGTAAATTTGGCCTTGGAAAGGGAACTTTTAAGACAGGAGTTTCAGGAAAGATTGCTCAGTTCTGAAAATGGAAACCATGAGAAAGAAGCTCAAAATATTCCCGCCTTGTACTTGCTTAGTATAAGTTAAAGAAGAGAAAAAAAATCTACCAAGGTTTTAAGGTTCTGTTATTCTAGGCTACAATAAACATTTCTGGAATTCCTGATGCACTTATTTCTTGACCTCATCTTGTTTGAAGAGATAACATTTTCACTTAAAAAAAAAGAAAAAGACATTTACGGTCTAAAATGGAGCATGCAAAATGTGATTCTAGCCAGATTCAAGCTACCAGTAGGGATGGATGTAGGACTAGCAACAAATTGCAAATCTGTGAGTTCAGAAGGAATATTGTTCAGACCACAGGTGGGATGCTACCTGTTTGGCCCAGTTCTATAAACCGATAGCTCTGAAGAGCAGCAAACACTGAACCGGTTCGCTGCAATGACCTTTTGGTCATCTGTTTGGCCCACCCACCTGCCTGGGCTCTTGGCTGTCCTTTATTTCCTGCTTTTTCAACCTCAGCTGCTTTGCGCAGCGCAGGAAAAGCAGGAAAGAAGAGGATTTTCAAACGCTGTGCACCGTGTGCAGCGCTTATCAGCTGTCTGGGCAGCACAGCTAATGGTTTTTTGCAAATGCTGTACACACATGCAAAACGCACTCTCACCGAACCGGTAGTAACATCGGTTGAATCCCACCCCTGGTTCAGACCGTGGCTGATCTCAAAAACTATGTAGATTTTTTAGTATTTGTATGGGTGACAGTAGAGAATGAACAGCTCTGTAGTAAACCTGAAAGTAAAAAACAAATCCAGAAGTATTTAATGGCAAACTAATTCTGTATTATGAGTAACATAACTCCACAGTATATACATGTAGTCACTAGGAATAGAGTTTGGCTCAAGGAAGACTTCACATTTTGTCTTTATCATCCCATCCAGAAAACTTAAAACAGGTTTAACAAGTAACACTTTATGCATAAAAAAGTTAATTAAATCAAGGAAGGGAAATTATAAGCATAGTAGAATAGAAAATAGAAGATGGTGAGTTCAAGTCCTGCTTTAGCCATGAGAGCCAGCTGGGTGACTGTGGGACAGTGACTGCTCTCAGCTCAACCCATCTCACAGGATTGTTGTGGTAAATAAGAGAGGAAAGGTGTGTTGAATATGTTACTGCTTTGATTTATTTGTAAAAATAATAAAGATGGGAGACAAATATAAATAAAGGTTTAAGTTTCTCTCCTCTTCCACAGAGCTTTTAATTGATGAGCACCAAGATAGTTGTTCACTGGATGCTGCTTTTGGAGTTGTGGGTTTGCCTTTCCTGTGCTTAAGATTTCATTCAGCTTTCTGTAAACTATGTAGAGTCAGATTTTGTAAACAAATGAGGAAAAATATTTTTCTACTAAGCAGTTTCATGAGAGGAATGGTACAGGAAGGTCTTGCTTGCCCAACTCAAGTCCATGTTATATTTATTGTATCTGCAGGACACTGCATTCTAGCTTGACTTCTGATTGTTCCATTCTTTAAATGTTAGAAGACTTTTAAGTATATATATATTGTTTGTCTTCTCTAGGTAAAACGGAAGACGGACATTTTTGCAGACATTTCTTACTGGATTGCAGAAAGGAATCATGACTGAAATCGCACAGAAGACAGAAGTACGTATGAGATCCAAAAAGAAATTACTTATAAGGAATTTTGCAGTTTCTCTGTAATCTCAAAATAATGTAAAGAAGCTTAAATTACAATTCACTAGGCAATACTGGGAGATAATGTCATGTTTGTGCAAACAGATTTATTAAAATTAAAATGTTTTTAACTAGCAGGATGTTCTTTTTTCAAAAAATGAATGCCTTAATAGAATAAAATTTGTTCACAAAATATTAATTTAATTTTAATTCAGTTCCTAATCTATAGTGTATTAGTGTGAACAAGCCTGAATGCTATGTTCAAAGGTATTTTTTTGATTTAGAGAAAATATACAAGTAAAGATGCTGGAGTTGTGAAATAGTTTGCAAAATATGAAACTAAAGGCTAGTTGCTAAATGTGGAAGTAAAACATGTATGAGAATAAGTGGATGATAATAAATAGCTCGTTACTGAGTTGAAGATAGATAAGTGTACCTTGCCTGGATTTAATGTATTTATAGATAAATGTACAAGAAATGCTTTAAAACTTTAAAAGTGTATTGGCTGGGACCTTGAATGTGTGTATACCACAGTATGAAGTCAATCTTTTGTTGTTGGCTGTGAATTTGAATGATTTGCAGTGAATATTAGATTATATGATGCAACAAAGAGAACTGATCTAATAATCATCGAATACTTAAGACATTTGGATTTGATAAGGAAAATTGAATGAGTAAATTGTAAGTTATACATAAATGGTAAGGTGAGAATGTTTGGAAAATGGACGAAAATGTAGAAATGCTAAGAGTTTGGCAGATAGTGTGAGATCTGTTTAAGGAATGAATGTTTGGTGAAAGTTGGATGGCATTCTCTAAAAGAAGTAAGAACTTTAAAACATCAAAAGCAACATATGAAACAATGTAGAGAATGGTGGAAGCAAAGCATGGTTTGTAGAACTCTATGGAGAAATGAAACAAACAATGTTGGTAAACCTACTTTAGGCAAATTTATACATTTTTTTCATCTGACATCTTTAATTTATTTTGCCCACTATTTCTGCTTCTCTTTCATTTACATAATATTGCTTTCATAAAAATGGAAGTGCTAGATACAGCATGCATCTATGTATCTAACACACTGTGCAATGTATCTTCATTTGCTTCTATCATCCTTTCCTGATCTTTGCTTTTTCTACATCTTCACTAAGATTCTGCTTTCTTCATCTAAACCTGTACAAAAGTGCTATGTCCCCAAACTTCGAAAAGGTGATGTAAAGGATAAATTTGAAGCCATGCAGAAAACAAGGGAAGAAAAAAATCAGAGACGAACAAAAGAAGAAAAGCAAAGAAGAAGAGAACAATATATTAGAGAGAAAGAATGGAACAGGCGAAAGCAGGAGGTCATTTCCTTTGTTATTATTTGTTTCTCTTGGTTTGATTTCAGTTACACTACAATGCTGGTATAGAAAATATATTTGAAACTTATATAAAAACTTACCAGAGTTTTTAAGACTGTCCACATTAATATTTTTGATCCATTATTCAGATGAAAGAACTTCTTGCTTCTGATGATGAAGAAGAAAACTCTTCTAAAGTAGAGAAAGCTTATGTTCCAAAACTGATAGGTAAGGGAAATTTTATAAACGTCTTGACCTCCATTATCAGTGCTTTAGTATCATACTGTACATTGTCTAAAACATTTCACTTACACGGGAAAAGACCTGAACACACCTAGACCTACATACCTGTACCCGTGAAAATCTATATGTATGTATGGTATTCAGCTTTGTTCGGATATTTTCCCACGTCGTTATAGTTGTGCTTTTAAAGTTGTGTGTGCGCGTGTGTGTATGTATGTATGTGTGTATGTATGTATGTATATATATATATGTATGTATGTATATATATATATATATATATATATATGTATGGTGTTCGGCTTGGTTCGGGTATTTTCCCACGTCATTGTAGTTCTTTTAAAGTTGTAGCAACGTTTCAGCAGAATCTCATCTGCCATCATCAGGCTTCTGTATTGTGTCCGTCTGTGGGTCAGACTTTTACAGTGGTTTCAGATTTAAATTTGGGGCAGCCTATTGCTGTGCCAGAATGGTTTTTTCTTCATCCTGATTGGTTGGGAGTCTTGGTCTGTGTTTATTGGTCTCGGAGTTTGCTGTGTTCTGCTTGATTGGTGTCTCTAATATCTTCTGTCTGTTTTTTGGCTCTTTTTGTATCTTGATTGGCTGGCAGCATTGTGTTGCTTTAATGGAGGCCTTTAGTGCAGCTTGGCTTCGGGTAAATGGACGGCTATCATTAGTTAGGAAGCTGGGTTTCATCTGGGTGCCTGGTTGGGGTGTGTTTGAGCTGGAGGTATCAGGGGGGATCTGTTTGTGCCCAGGTGTTTGCCTGGCTTGTGGTGTGGAGATTTTTTTGTTTGTGAGTGCAGGCTTCCAAATGATTGACAGCCTGGTGGAATCATCTCTTCTATTCATGCTTTCTGGTCTTTTTTCAATCTCTATGGCTTCTCTGATGATTCTGTGATTAGGGTTTTCTATAGTGGCCAGGGTTTTGGTGCCATTGAAGTTGATGCTATGACCTGTAGCTTCCATGTGTTGGACTAGTGAGGAAGTGTGTTCCAGCTTTTTGACTGCATTTTTGTGTTCATCCAGGCGGGTGCTTATTCTTCTATTGGTCTGTCCAATGTATGTGGCCGGGCATGATGCACAGGGGACTTCGTATATGCCTTGGTTTTCCAGGTCAATTTTATCTTTGGGGTTGCTAAGGATGGCTGCTATTTTTCTGTCTGTTTTGAAGGCAGTCCTGATGTGATGTCTGTGTAGTACCTTACTAATTTTGTCTGTAGTACCTCTTATGTAGGGCAGGACAGCTGTTCCATAGGTCTGTTCATCTTCTGGGTCTCTATTATGTTTCAGTGTGTTTTTGTGGATCAAGCTGGTGATTTTGCTTTTGTGGAAGCCGTTGGCTGTCAGTACTTTAGTCAGGGTGCATAGTTCAGTCTTAATGTGTGTCTTGTCTGCCAGGCGTTTGGTTCTGGTAATTAGTGTTTTAGCCACGGAGTTTATCTGTGCTGGGTGGTGGTGGGATTGGGCGTTGAGGTAGCGGTTGGTGTG